CTTGTCATTATGTCCTCGTGATCTCTTGTCTGGACTACTATAATGCACTGAACATAGGTGAACCCTTGAGGAGCATTCAAAAAACTTCGACTGGTGCAGAATGAAGCAGTATGGATAGTAAATGGTACCAGTTATTTGGCACTTGTAACACAACTACTCCATGAGTTGCATTGATTGCCAGAGTGCTTCCAGGTACAATTCTGGGTGTTGGTTGTTACCTTTAAAGGACAGGGTTACTTTGAGGGACCATCTCCCCAGCTGTTTTCACCTGACTGATCAAGTCCGGTCAGCCAAAGAATGCCAACTGGTAGGGCTTACTAGACATGCCTTTTCTGCGATAGTACCCGACTTATGAAACATTCTTCCTCTGGAGGATGGCCCTTCCCTTCATAAGGTCCTGGCGCCCTGCTTCTAGGCCTGGACCTGGGACCCCAAAGGTGCAGGGATCCACTACTTGGTTATGCTAGTGATTTAGGTTGATGTTGTTCAGCTGCTATGTATTTAAACTTTTGTCACATTAATAATAGTATTTATTTTAACTGTTCTCCATACAATCATTTGTTGAGATGGTCAGCTATATAAATTAGATAAATAATAACAACAAATAAAACATCATGAGGATATGGCAGAAAAAATATATAATGCATAGAAGCATTAATATTAAAATGTTTAAAAGCCGGAGTAAATAAGTTTCAATCTCCTTTCTAATTTGTAACAAGGTAGGAATCTATTTTTAACTCAGCTAGTAGTATTCACTGGGATTGATGAGGCAAAGGGCAGGGTGATAATTGGTATATGGAACTGAGGAGACAGTAGGCAAAGATAAATAATTTTGAATGTGTTCCAGTTTTCCTCCAAGGTAGGCTGTTTTATACTCATGTGTGCCTTTGCAGTTTTTGCTACTTTTTAAAAAAAGTATCTTTCCATTACCTTTTCCTAGAGCTGGGAAAATGTAACTGGCCCATAATCAGCCAGCTGGCTTTATGCCTGAGGTTGAACTAGAGCTCTCGTTTACGGATTTCTAATCTTAATTACACCCAACTGGCTCTCTACAGGCTGTATCACATTAACTTACTTTCTAACCCTTTTCTCTTCTCTGAACAGAGAAGAAACAATTAGATCTATAGTCAAGTGAAAACAATTACAATCCAAGATCAAACACATTAAAAAACAATATACAATACAATGCAATGATTATAAAAAGAAAACTTCAAGAACACCTTAAAGCAATTAGCAACTAACCAATAGCATGAAGGAGGAACCAGCCACCTAGAGTCACATAAAAATGAGATGGGCAGCTATATAAATTGAATAAATATGTAACTGTAATAAATATGTAGCTGTAACTGTTGGTAAGTATTGTGCAACCTTCTTAAAGGTTTCTGAAAAACAACCACCCAGGAGAACCTAACAGCCTCCTGGTCATAGTGGTAATTACAGTTATTGGAAGTACCAATAAAGTAGAATATTTGCAGCTCAGGGTTGAAATGAAAGGTCTTTGATGCTTTCCGAGCTTGGTTGTTTTCTTGCTGCCATTTCATTTATTACTGATAATGTTAATTAGTTTGGGTAATGAAATGGCTGCAAGAAAACAACCAAGCTTAAAGAGCATCAAGGACCCCTCATAATTGGAAGTATTAAGCATGATCACCATTGGTGTACATTAAACATTTTAATAGCACATATGAAACAAATTATATCCCCTAGTCTGAACAAAAGCAAGTTTTGCTGTCATGTGGGAAGCTTATCTACCTATCATTGTTGCCCCAATTCAGGCCAAAGCAAATAATCTCTTATGTAGAGATATAAGATGTTATAGGAACAAATTAGGGACAGATCAGGGAGGAGTGATCGTGCTACAAAAGAGACAGGAGACTTCTGTCATTGTGGATATCTAGATCCCAGATGCTCTTGTTTTAGTTCAACTAGGGCAGTGATGGCTAACCTTTTCCAAACCAAGTGCCCGAAGCGCATGCGCGAATGCACCGTTTGTGCTTGAACCCCCAAAATGCAATGCACCCCCTCGCGCATGCGCCCCACCCCGTGCATGCACGTGCAAACCCCCATATGTGCCTGCCCTGTGCACGCATGAGCAACCCTACAGATGCATGGGCAACTTGTGCGCATGAGCCCTGCCCCATGCATGTGTGCATAACCCGCCCTGTACATGCCCCACCCCTTGGGCATGCACGCGTGACCTCCCATACATGCCCCGCTCCCCCGCACATGCGTGGCAGAGACCCGAAGGCCAGCTGGCCAGTGGGAGATGCACGCATGCGCATTGGAGTTGAACTGGGGCAACGGCTTGCCTGCCATCAGAGAGGGCACTGCATGCCACTTCTGGTATGTGTGCCATAGGTTTGCCAACACAGAACTAGAGTTTTATCAAGGCAGGCAGTGCTGATAATGTAAGATCACAATATGCAAAAGCATCATTAATTTGTCTCCTTGGACTGGAAGACAATGTATTCAGCAAGATGAGATGAACTAACAAATTTCTCAGTAGACTTGCTTCAGCCAGAATGTAAGACAAGTCTTAATCAATTTTCAAAGAAAATGCGCTCTATTTCTAGAGTTTCTTGTGTTAAGGCACAGGAAAGTGAATAAGGTACTGGTTAGATTTTCAATATATTTTTATTGGAATGCTTCTAAACTAGAAGAGTCTTTATAAATACACAACTGAGCACTATATAGCATGAAACCCAGAACTTTGGCTTTAAATAGTTTAATGGTTCCTCTGACATAATTGTCACTGATTGACCTACAAATTTAGTGGTTGCTTTGCAAAGGATGCTTTGGGGGTTTTTATTTGAAGCTTTCTTGTTTGAATAAACCAGCAGATAGAGGAATACAAATAAAGATCTAGATATTTAAAGGATTTTATCTGCTTGATCAGTTTGCTATTAATTGTCAATCTAATTGGACTAAAGCATTATTTAGAAAATACAAGCACTTTTGTTCTGGATAATTCAGAACAATAGGTGTTCTCTAAAGCAACAACATGGCAGAGCTTTAAGACATCTTACAGAGTTACAGACAATATGCCTGCATAATCAGATAAAATAAACTAGAGATGAAGCAGTAAGAGGGATGCTTATATGCCTCAACAATATTTAATGTAAAAGCTGAATAACAGTGAGATGAGATTATCATCTTATTCTATATGTTTGCTAATAGGTTCAATTAAAGCACCAAGAATATTGTTCCTTGTTTGAGTAAAGGTTGTACCTTTGTGTAATACTATTATTAATCTAAGAAGACAACAATTTATCATTGTAGTGGCTAATTTCCTCCAGATTGTTCTTGCAGAATAGAAGCAGACTTATTCCTCTCCTATTTACAATGTAAAATTTTATGTGTCCCTAGAGATTGCAGCTGCTTCTCATATATTTATTTTATTTGTAGCACATTTATCTGCCCCAAGTCATGTCAGCTAGTATTTTACATGTCCTGCTACTTTAAACAGACTAGCTGCTAGCTCTCAAACATTTTCATAGGCTTGCCTGCAATTCTTTGAATAAATTCCTTCTACACTTGTTATATTTAAATTATTATTTTTACAAATAATTCAAGATGGCAAACTTATCCAACACACCTTCCTTCTGTTTTCCCCACAACAACAATCCTGTGAGGTGGGTTGGGCTGAGAGAGATTGATTGGCCCAAAGTCACCCAGCTGACTTTCATAATTAGGGCAGAACTTGAACTCGGGGTCTCCTGTGTTTTAGCCTGTTGCCTTAACCACAAGTCCAAACTGGCTCTTGTATATGGCATATTTTTGTTCAGAATTGGGGCTTCAGAATCATTAAGACAATTTTTGCCTATCATCTGCCCAGAAAACATTGGGGAAGAAAAAAAATAGGGGGCAAATGAGCAGAATGAGGCACACACACACAAAGTATTAACCCTCCATCTTTTTGATTATTCCTTTTCTCATCAGTCACTGAAAATAATTTTCTTATTGAATATATAACAATAACAGAGTTAGAAGGGACCCTGCACAAGCAGAAAAACCCTATGTCATTTCAGATAAATTGTTGTTCAGTCTCTTCTTAAATTCTTCCTGTGTTGGAGCACCCACAATTTCTGGACACAAGTCATCATACTGATTAATTGTTCTGGAAATAACAGATCCTCTTTCATTTCAACAGTTAAAGGCATTTTCTTTACTGAGCTTGATTTTCTTCTATTGTTAAACAAAGCAGAAACAAAACTTAAACTTTGTTCTTCGTTGTTTGAAACAATTGTAAAGATCTAGGATGGGAAGATGAGCTAGAATTTGGTCTAAGGAAGACCCAGTCAGAGATAAACAATAGTTAATAAAAAGAAAGTTCCTCAGAGATGGTGATGGTGACTAGCCTTGGACTAGTCTCAGTTTGAGTGAAAAAAACCCCAATAACTTTAGCACCATGGACTTCTTTTGCCTTAATACCAATTGGAGCTTATACTAAAAGCATCCACTTGTTGCTTTGAAAAAAAAGCTACTAAGTTAGTTGATTTGCTGAGAAAGAGGATAATTGTGTTACAATGAATGATTTGCTGAGAAAGAGGAGAATTATCTTACTTATAGTGCAATATTTGATTGCAATGTTGCTTTTCTAAGTAAAGAACTAATTTCAGATGACTGAGTTTTGCATGTTCCATTATCCACTGCATGCAAGGATGGTTTTCAGCTTTATACTTCATAAAATAAACAAATCCTAGATATATTTTTGCTGCTGGACATAATTCCATAAATATTCTTGTTATTCCACTGAAGAATTGTATTTAGAACTGTTCTTTTCCAAGTGATAAATTCTCAGTTCTAATTGCAAGAAAAAGTATTAACAGAATAAATCTGTAAATATATCAACTGTTTTCCTTATTTTCCTCCCCCCCTTTCTATTTCTCTCCTTAATTTTTGTAAACATTGTACAAATGAAACTTGCCAATGTTGTTGCAATGTGAGAACATTTTATTTGAACTGTTAAACAAGTAACATGAAATGCTTTTCTTCTGCAGATGTGGAAGCAAAACCAGAAAACAGACATTCAAAAAGCAGTTGTAGGGGGCAAGAAAGCTCCTAATTCAATTGCCCCTACAACATGAGATGTGGGCCACGTGGTGAGTTTTTTGCCCAGTGTGTAAATGAGATCAAATGAGATACCTTCCGAGAAAGGGAATAAATTAATAAATAAGAACACATGCACACTGCATTAACAGTTGCCAGTAGTGCTTAGATTAAGTAACTCGCTCTTTTGCCTACTGCTCAAGCCAAATGAGAATGGCACATTTAATTTTACCTGCCAGGCAAGAAATATCCACTCTTAAGTTTATCTTCTTTAATTTTTTAACATTGATTTATTGTTGTGTTTTCTGTTTTCTGTTGGTATAGTCCATTTGGATCAGGGCTTTGTCCAACTATTCTGAATGATGATGCTGTATTTTGTCTATGGTAGATACTGGGGTACCATTACATTTCAATGAAATAGCAACTTATGATCAGCAACTCACATTTTGTACCAAGAACAGCAGGATTCTATAGTTGGTATTTTGTAAGCAGATTGCCTCTTACTTGAAGGGTCTGCTGCTTTGGGTTTTTTTTGCATAATTCTGATCGTACTATGTAGTAGAAGATAGAAATATTTAGGACATTCCTTATTATGGTTCCTAAAAACATATTTGTAGTATGTTTCTGGTATGCCAGGGATGAGAAACATCTAGTATTGCCAGATACTGCATATTTTGACAGAACTGCAGCATGTCCAGCTCTGCGTATGATACATGTATAGGCAAAGAAAATCAAATATCTTAGGCTGCAATCCTAAGATAGATTCAACATGGTTCAATTTCTGTAATTTAACCCAATACAATATTTGTACTTTCCTACACCCAAAAGATGAGGCTATATATTTTCTATAAAGGTTCTCCTCCCCCCACTTTTCTTCTTGTTGCTGCTTAAGCTACTTCCATTGCATCTTGCTAGTTCTTCTAATTGCAAATTTTAGATCTCTTCTATAGCTAAGCTTTCCTTTCATTTTTTCTTCTCTTTCTGCTTTTAAATTGAACACAGAGAGAAAAGTGTCCTTCTGTATCTCAGCATGAAGCCTTTATTTCTGAAGTAACAAGGTATCCAGCTATAGGAGTCATGTTTAAAAAAATTCAAAAATTTTACAGTCCTCCATGAATAGAACAGTCAAGAAATGCACATCTTCTTTCCTTGAATCAAGGAACTGTACCAGCAGCTGCTGATTTTTTTAAAGACTATATTGCACATTGCACTGTTATGCTCTAAAAGAGAATTTTCATCCCTCTGAGGACCAAGGTTTGTGCAGTCTGAAGAACAACTTCAGCAACACAATTACTGTGTTCTAGTTCCTTTATGAACATGGTCACCAGTTGCTTACTACTTCCGCTCTGCTAGCATTTAATTCTGTAAATCTGAAATAAAAAAAGACTGTTGTAAATTGCGGAAATTGTTGTAAATACAGGTAGGAAAAATACCTCCTCAAGCATCTTGTCACTTCAGTCTTATTGGTGTGCATGATGTTACTCTTAGGAAAATAAAACTGCTGATTATTTTGATGTATAAGGCAAGAAGAATAGGTACTTCAAAACATAATTGAATACTTAATAGACCCCCAGATTAATTAATCTTTTCCATATACTTTGTGTCACAAAAAATATACTCATTTTGAGGGGACAAAAAGATGCTAAAAACCGTTTCTGAAGTTTTGTTGGATGAAATTGATTTTGTTTTCAAGAGAAACCATCCAAAATAAATTGTCTCATTTTACATATTTAATCTATATTTTTAATTTGGTATTTTTGAGCTAAATGGCTTAAAAAGTGTTTATAGGAAAAATCCATCAAACATTTTTCAAGCTGTTTAAATGACTGTTATGATTTTGTTTCTTATAATATGCATTAAGGCTGATTAAAATAGTTGATACTTTCTTAATATTTATATGTGAACAGAACAGGAAATTAGATTTGGTTAATCTTTGCAGATGTACAAGGGTTTCTGGTTTCTATTAAATTTCAAAGTTTATTTTCTTACAAGCCACTAAATTATTAATATTTCCATATGTATCATATTTAACCTTAAATGATTTATTTAATCTTAATATATGTGTATCTTTAATCTCATTATTTGTATCTCATCAAATTAGTCAAAGTAGAGTTGCCACATCTTGTTTCGATCAGATCTATTGCCTATACATTGTATATTTTTTTATACTCACCGGGATTTTGCTGACAATCAATGTTATTTCTATTAGATAAAAATATATCCTGCCCTTTTCTGTGCCAAATGAAAAGCAGCCTATAGAGAGCAACAGGGGTCAGCTAAGGAGAACAACTAGATGTCCTGGTTTGGGAGCAATACAATGTATAATCTTCAAACAGCCATGCCTGGGTAGATTTATTCCTGATCAATGTAACAAATTAAGCCATAATCAATTACTAATCAGGATTTAACAGAAAAAAAATAAAATATTGGGGTTTATACAACCCACAAAGGTATAGTTTCTGTATTTACACATACATACAGCAATAGTATATTAATGCATTGATAGTGCATTACCTGAACAACTGGAGAAATTCCATAAAATGGGTTAGTATGTTGCACAATTGCAGCCATAAAATTTATGGTGAATGATAGACTCTCCCCAATTTTAATGTGGGGAAAAAACTTGCTGGTACCTTAGACACATGAAAATTTCACAACAAACTGTACTGTACAATGTAACCTAAGGCAGCATCTTATCACCCAAGTTAGTTAATATCTATAAATACACAACTTTTCTTGTTTTAGTATTAAATGTGAATCCAGTATGAGTGTATGGAGAGAAAAATAATTATCCCTACATAAGATCTTCAATGACAAAAAATAAAATCACTGAAATTGATCTTACAAGTGCAAAGTATTGGGTAAACTGAACAATCTGAAAATTAATAAACAAGTGTAGAAGGATAAATGTAGTAGCCAGTGTAGAAAGAACTTATGACCACCTTCATTTCTCAGAAAATGAAATATGAAAATAGAAATATAGGGCAGGAAGTCTTTCATACAGTTCATACAATTTCAACCTATTGGAAAAATGTAATTTGAATAAATAAATCCTAAAGTTAAGCTTCCCAGATAGCATTGTCTATTTAGGTAAGAATGGCATTATACTTAATGGGAATAGTTTGAAATGACCAAGAGCCAAATCACATTATTATTTTGCAGTAGCTGTTTTACACTGCACAGCAATGAGAGATACTTTTCATTTTTATTTATTGATGAAAAGTCTATCCAGAAATCCTCAAACTGACTATCATTATTACTATTTGTTATATATTTGATTTATACTCGGCCTTCCCAAGAAAGTTAAGACAGCTAACATTAAAAAAAATACAAAACTTAAAAGAAATTCATATTAATGCTAAAATTAATTAACAATCAAAAATTTAGTGGAAGAGATATATCTAATAAGCACTGAACAATTTTCAAAAATAGTTCCATGAAAATACCAGTCGTGGTACTAAATCAGGTAAGGTTGGATGAGCTGTGTGGCACTGAAAGATTTGTATGCAAGCCTTTTTATAAAGAACACAGTAATGAAGGGCCTCTTCAGTTGTTCTATGCCATCTTGGGCAACCACTATTGTTACCTGCAGATATGGAAATATGGGAACCTGAAAACTCAACATGATTCTAATCTTGTACGTCTGAATATTTTTCAAATAAACTACTGTTTTGTATTAATTACCTTCAAAATGTTTGCAGTTTTGGGAAACAATCACCTGTTTTTCCAGCACTTATTTTTTATTGTATCTATTTTTCTTGATTTTTCAGTTTTGTATGTGATTCATACACTGTTTTGTATTTGGATTTAGGTACAAACTTTTTCTACATACAGTTTTAAGTAGTACAAGTGACGCTTCTGGTATAATGAAGATGACCAAGAGCATAATATTGCCTGGGAAAAATTAATTAATGGATTATGCCTTTTTTAATGATCCAATTTTGGCAGTAGGTTTGGTTTAGTGTTGCAAAGTTACATATGTACATTTAGGCTTAATCCACAACTAAAATGAACTATCATCTTGTTTTAATGAAGCCTAACACTGATATTTCTGGAAAGGAAGTTTGAGATTTGTAAACTATATGTAATTTGTCTCCATAGTTCTCTTTAAAAATGTATTTTGTGAAAAGCCAGATGATTTTCTGCTGATAACTTAAGAGAAATGAATCTTGATACAGGTATTCTTTAGGAAAACCAAAGCCTTGTTTATAGCTTTCCTTTCCAAAATACATTTGAATATAACTGGCTTTCCTTATCTCTCTCGATTTCAGATTTTTAATCTAAAGAAACTAAAATGTATGTCATAGTTCTTTGTCCCAATTTTCATTAATATGGTTCATAAAAAATATTTTTTAAAAAATATAAATCTGTAGCAGTGTCAATGTGTCACTTTGAAATCCACCACTTTTAGAACTAAATGCAAGGGCTTTTTTCTTTATATGCAACAGTATTTAAGCAGCTACAAAATAAAAGTTGTAAATTTGCCGTAATACAATGAAAATATTCCCACTCCGTTGCTGCTGATTGCTAAAGCTACAATCATTCTTTCTATAATGCATTATTTCTTAAAATTCTTGTATTTTGAGAGATGGCACAGCTCCAACATGGGGCCAATATAAGTTCTCTGCAAACTCTATTGCATTGTGTATAACTCAAACATTGTTCAGAATGGAACTGCCTTAAAAGGAAAAAACAGCATGTGGCTGTGACACAAAATAAACACTGTTATTCAGAAACTTTTATTTAAAGTTGTAACTTCCTTTCTTATACCTATTAAGGAGTTTTGTAATGTTTGCCATTGTACACTACTTATGTTATTAAAATTTGAAACAAAGTAACTGTTGACTTTCTCTTATTTTGAAAAAACTTTGTTTGGCCTTTCAGGTGATCACATTGCATACTTTGCACTTTAATGAGTTTTTCTAAACTTTATATTGGAGAAAGACCTATTATAACTTTGATATACTTATAGAAGCCTTTAAGAACTGCCCTTTATACTTCTGGAGGGATTATAGAGCAGTGATGGGATTCAAAAGTTTTTACTTCCTGCTCGGTGGGTGTGGCAGGGGAAGGATACTGTAAAATCTTCATTGCCACCCCACTCTAGGGCAGTGATGGCTAATCTTTTTGGGCTCCTGTACCACAAAGTTGTATGTGTGCTTGCACACTCGCACTCACGCACCAGCACCCAGAACGCAATATGTGCCCCCCGTCCCCTACACACGTGTGCGCAATCCCCACCCACCCACCCCCTTACCTGCACTACGCCTTACAGCTGATTTTCGGCTGGTTTTAGGCCTTTTTTTGGCCTCCCAAAGTCTTGAGGAAGGCTTCTGCAGGCTTCTACGAGCTTTGTAGGCTGAAATCTAGCCCCATTTCATCATTTCCTGTTTTTCTGAAAATACTGGAAGTGACAGAGATTTCGGGCTACAAAGCTTGTAGAAGCCTGCAGAAGCCTTCCTCAAGCCTTTGGGAGGCCAAAAATCAGCTGTGAGGTATGCACATGCGCAGTGAGGGAAGTTTGCAGCTCACGTGCCAACACCAATGCCATAGGTTCGCCATCACAGCTCTAGGGGAAGGATACTGTAAAATCACCATTCTCCAGGGGGGAGGTTACTGCAAAATCCCCATTCCCTCCCCACCCCACTAACCTGCTTTCCAGCTCAGTTCTGTGCAGGGCAACAAAAGAACCCAGCCAATCAGTTGGGACTTGCGAGGCAGAAAATAGATGGGGGTGGGGCCAGTCAGGTGGTATTTGCCAGTTCTCCTAACTACTAAAAATTTCTGCTACTGGTTCGTCAGAACCTGCTGAATACCACCTGTGAATACCAGTGAGTGATAACACAAAATAGGTGGAACAACACTACACATGATCAGAGCTGGGATAATTTCTCTCTTAGGAAAGAGTGCCAAATTTATTTTATATTTATTATAGCTACCTATCTCATATAGTGATTCTGAATGGCGTACGCAATAAATACATTAAAACTACAATTTAAATTTAAAAAAGCTAACAGGAAACAAGACTGAAGCAGCAAAGCATACAAAGAGCGCATTTTACTAATCTTATAAATCATGAATGAGTGAGCAAAAATCTCAGCACTAAATGTACTGAAAGGAGTGGAGATCTTCCTATGTGATTTTCCAATGATGATTTCCATCCAGGAAAATCTTTGTGAATGTAGGATATCATGCGTGTTAATGAAAGTTCCCACCCAGTTACTCTTGGGTTAAAAAGCTTATTTGTGGCTTTCATCAAAATGCACAATTATGGGTTCATGTGCTGTAGACTTCAGAAATTTTAGGAAGTCATCTGGGTGCAGGCCCATAGTTGCTGCATTGGTCATTGGGTGAAAATAAATCCTATCATGACCTCCTTCCAGAAATCCAGCATCCAAAACAAAGTTCACATTTCCCTGATCACAGAAAAGAGCTAAGGGGGTTGCACATCCTTGGCCAACTTTCAGATTGTCCAACATAGCTGCTTCATCAGCAAAGCGCAGGTTCCCACTTCCAACACCCAGTTTCTTTGCCAAATCATTTAAATTGATTTGTCGATCATGCAGAACTGTCACCAGCCAAAAGCTTTTTTTCTTCTTATCTTTAAGGAAAAGGTTTTTGCTGTGAGCTCCATTTAAGTGTTGTACATAAGGCATCATTTCTTCAACTGTGAAGACCTAGAAGAGAGAAACGAAGTGTGACTTCCTTAAACTATTAAAAAACTGCATTTGAACTACACTTTGCAGCATCTCCTCTTTATAAAAGCCACTGAAATAAACAAGATCAATGCAACAATCCTGCACATTTCAATTTGATACTACTTCAGCAATCCACATAAATTCTAATCATATAGTCCAAAATAAGAAAATACATTCTTGAACCCATATTTTCAGTGCCAAAAATTATATTACTGAAATTTGGCAGTAAACAAGGGTGAACAAAGGTGATTCAACAGAATTAGATTGGCTTACATACCTAATGTTTTTTTAAAAAGTTAAAATCCTTTCCCCTGCTCAGGTTAATATCCCACATCTTTCACATTGTTTAACATGATATAGATTGCAGCCATTCAAAGGAAATCAGGAAGCCTCTCAGCATAATCCAAAATAATATTTTTCTTAGCACTTTAAATTTATTCCATTTATTGTTTTAATTAGTATAACATTAACAAATGTTTATACTGAAGAACATCAGAAAAGGATATATTTGACTGATTTGGACAATCAGTTGACATTGCTAAAATCCGTCAGTAAGGCTAACCTTTCATAGGGCTTATCAAACTCAAACAAGCCATATTATGTCTTCCTGTGTAGCTTGTAACAGCTTAAGTCATGTGTATTGTACTCTAGGACATTATCAGTGACATAGATATGGCAGCATGTTAACATGGCTTATAATTTAACATGTTATGCAGGTCTTCTGTATCCGGACATAAAACTCAGATGTGCTTTGTTATCACTTCGCTGCCATCTAGTAATACCTCTCTGTCTAGCGTGCGGATACAACAAGCCTGCAATTGTGTACTTCAGAGAAATAAATTGCATTAACTCAGGCCGACTCGTTTCACGTGCATCGACTTGGTAGTAAGCTACTCTCCATTTCTGGAAAAAAGGAAGTGATTAAAAAAAAAAGATGGATCAGCCACGTCCCAGCCGCCTTTCCCTGCACACCGGCTTCTCCATTGGCCGTTTCCAGCCCTCCTCCCCAGAACGCTTCATTTCGCGGCTTCTTCACTCACTTCGGGATGTTCCACGCTGAGTGCTTGGATGCCCAGGCCCTGCAAATGAGCCTCCAGCGCCTCTCGAAGCCCCTTTGGAGGCGGCTCGGCCATTCCAGCCCCTCCCCACAGTACTTGCCGCAAGGCTTTCGGGAGGACTGAGCAGGAAGGCGGAGACGATTTTTTTGACCAACAACAGCTTCCTTCCTATCCCAGAGCGGTCATCGGCGACAGGAAAAGGAAGATACGTCAAGACTTGAAGCGCTGCCCGTTTGTTGCTGGATGGCAGCGCTTAGCCAACCTTGCCCGTTTTTAAAAAGTTGAACCCATGGGAGATTCCAGAGAAATAAATTAGACACCGTAGTAGAAAAACATCCTGGAAACAGGTATTCCATATTTTGCCAAAATCAGTATGCGAATTGTTTCTATGACGTTAGTAGCAGTTTGATCTGGATTGCAGTGTGAACATCTATTCTGTGTTTGGCTTAGTATTGTGGGCAACAGTGGCGTTTATTCAAAAATAAAGCCCCAGTGACTTTACTGTAATTCCGCAGGTTCCCTGGAAGCATGCAGGGATTGGAACACTTTTGGGATAGTTTTATCTTGTTCTTTAGCTGCCCTCACCCTTTCAATAAATAAATAGGGCTTCCCTGATTAGTGTCCTTGTCATTTGTAAGTCTCCAATTTTTGATTCCCAGACAACCTTACCATTGCTCACGCTGGCATGGCATTTCAGAGTTCTGACCATATGGTTACTGGAGTCTGATTGGTCTTAAAGGAAGCTATTTCTTTTAAAACACCTTTCAAAGGAATGTGATTGGAGAATGTTGATTTAAAACACAGTGTTCACATGCTGTATTAAAAGCTACAGCTCATTTTAACCATGAGGTCTGAACAATGCTTACACCCAAGCTAGCCCATGACAGTCCGGTTTCAAGAGGGCCTCTCAAACTGCTTTGCAGCCCACATAGAGCACTCCCAAATACTTTTCTGCCCCTGCAACATTTTGTAGGCACTGAAGATGCTACCCAGTACCTTCCTAAATGTATCTTGCAAAAAGTATTACATATCCAGTAATAAAATGGAATACTGGTGTTTCAGTTAATGTAAAACTAGCAAATAAGTGGACAAAGTAAAATAACTGTTTTCAGTAATACTTTGAGGTTTATTTAGCACATTTGTTTTATGATATGATAATTCTTCATTTTTGACTCACAAGTAACTTTTGCTGTGTTGTTTTCAAAAGCTTCAGGGCTCTTAGGTTACCCAACTTATCCCCATAAGCATTACAACTTTAGTTTGAGTGTTCTAGTTCAGAGTTGTATATGAATTCAGTCAATGATTTGCAAGGAAATGTTTATTCAACAAATAAACAGTTTATTAACAGTTAATAATAAAAACTGTTTCTCCAAAGTAAAATGCCATTGCTAATGTTTGCTTGTCTTGGTGAGAATTAAAGTCCAACATGTAAGGAAGACAGTACTGATTGCCACATCTCTCATTTCATAATGACCTTTTCTATTAATTTCCATTATTACCTGTATATGTATATACAATCCCAATTGTACAAACCAAACCACCCTCTTGATAATTACATTTTTAACCAAGTGAGCTGTCAGAACACAGTTGATCAGTTTAATTTCTGATTTCAGATGGTTAACTATGCAATAACGTGAAAAATGTTTTAGAATAAAAATTTATTCTAAATAGGCAATTTAATTTGAAAACAAAATAAATTACTCAAACGCCACATGTCAATTGGATTTTTTTTGTTGCTTCTTTGTACTACAGTATTTAAGTATAAATATAGATCTGAATAATACTTAAAATTGCATCTATCTTGTATTCAGGCTTCATATGGAAATATTTATGATGCAATCTTAGGACTATCAATTCAAAACTAAACTACATTGATTTTAATACTTTTTATTCCAGGTATGTGTACTTAGGAGGTAAACCTTTTTCATAATTAGTTGCCAATGTAGCATAATTGCAGATTTTTAATAATGACATATTCTATTTTAATATATTGAACTATTGTTTGAAAGCATGCTTGGAAGCTATGTCGAGAAATTGGTAGTGTCTTTTTTAAAATAGCAAATCTTAGAAATTTATTCACCATCAAGTCTGATAGCACTGCTTATAAATTCAGGAGCAACACTTTAAATATATATATACATATGTATTTCCTATAGTGAATAATTTCCAATGGGTTCAATGAGACTTACTTTTAGATAAGTAGACGTAGAGTTATGGTCTAAACTACTTTTATTATAAACCAGCCAAACAGCAAATCAAAGAATTGGATTGATTTTAATCATCAAAAAAAATCTGAATTCTGAAATACAAGACATTTTTACTAGGAAGTTAACAGAACACAGGTGAGATTCATTTCTGAATAAACATGGGATTGCATTTTGGACTTAAATGGATATGTTTCAATGCTTGATTTTTATTTTGTTTGCCGTTATAAAATATAATAGGTACATTTGTATAAGTTCTGTTAAAATGAATTCATGATTTTATACAGCTACCATTCTTTAAATGGAATTTGCATAATAAAACCTCTTTGCATAAGACTCTCTTAGAATTCTGTTACTTTTAATGTGTGCAGCAGAAAGTGTTTGTTAAGAGCAACAAAATGTTCTAATCTTGGTCATTTAATGGTAATCAGAATAAATTAGCATTCATTTTGAAGAAACATAGATATTAAGTTGAACGGCCTTAATTATGCATTCACCCTTATTTGGCACTGACCATATGGATTGTAAAATGAATTGCATTTGTACTGAATGACAACTGTTTATAGCGTGTTCCATTAAGTAAATCAATAATTTAATTATTTAAACTTATAGTAACCATTATTGGTTGGCTATTTTATCATTTAGTGGGCATGTACATTCAACAGTTCATTTAGTGATCTTCAAAAAAAGTGACTTATGACCAATTTTCACATTTATGACCATTGCAGCATCCCTATGGCCATGTGATCAAAACTCAAACCTTTTGGCACCTGAGTCATATTTATGACAGTTGCAGTGTCCCAGAATCATGCAATTCCCCTTTTGCAACCTTCTAACAAGCAAAGTTAATGGGGAAGCCACATTCACTTAACAACCATATTACTAACTTAACAGCTGCAGTGATTCACTTAACTGTGGTAAGAAAGTTCATAAACGGGGCAAGACCCCACAAATCTCTTCCTTAGCAACATAAATTTTGGACTCAGTTGTAGTCATAGGTCAAAGACTATCTGTACTTTTATACTGGCAGGTCTTAGAGCCAAACATTTTATTGTGATTACTTGCATTCATTTTTACAAGTTTATATATAATATCCTGTATCTCTTGTGAATGATGATCTTAAACACTATTTTTTAAAAAAATGAAATAAATTGAATTCTATGTTGTATCTTCAGAAATAATCTTGATTGTGGTATCAATGATTCCATACCATTAGAATTTTTCCCCAAATACTCTGTTTTGAGCTACCTTTCGCTACCATTGCAGGTCTTATTCCCATTTGCTCCACTGCAGCTTTGAGTCAGTTTCAAATGCTACATTTTATGGACATTGTGTCCAGATTATAATGCCATCTATTCAAACATGTCATTATGATTGAAATTTGCTAACATTGCCCGATTACCAAAATAATCCATATAATAGTAAAGCAAACAGAGTTGAAATAGTTTCTTATTTACTAGAAGCATGCCTCATTGACTAAACTGGGGCTTATCTCCAACTAGATCTAAACAGAATGAGACTATTTAACTTTGTATTACAGCAAAATGTCATTTTGATTAAATACAGTAAGTCCCACTTATCCCACATATTCTGTGGTTCAGCCATTCAGGCCCTTTTCCTAGATGCTCCTTTTCATTCATGTGCTCTCCCCCCCCCCCCAGAAAACACTTTCCCTTTCTTCTCGCCACCCTGCTTCATCTGTCATCAATAGCAAGAGAATGAGGGTACAAATGTGGCAGAGTTATAGCTCTTTTGGTACCAGCTCTCTTACCCTGAATCTCATGGATCAGATAGCCTATCTTCTATCAAGTGAAACTTCTATCAGATGCTGGAATGAATATTCCCTATCTCACTCTTCCCCCAATGTCTTATGCAGACAGAGCCTTATTCTGCTTCCTTGGCAAGGCAGAACAGAGTTTGAAAATGCTTCTTTGTGTCAGTATACTTTCCTGCCAAGTCTCACACTGGATAACAGACAGACTTCAGTGCTGCCATGAGGAAGACCCCAAGATACCCCTATTATTATGATTGTTATTCCACATCAATTCACTGAAGGATGCGGTTATGGACTGTACACACTGGTGTACTGTGTCTAAAGGAGTCCTTTTCCAGCCCTAGAACCAATACTTTATTATATCCAAGAAAATATACGATTTTTGGCAAATATTTTAAGTCTTTTCTCCTTGCTGCAGATCAGTCTAACAGTCTAAATTCTAACAGTAAGTGCCCCGCTAGACCAAATTTCAAATAGAAATATATATGAAAGACCTCTGTTAGTGCAATTTATGACTTCAAAAGATGCAACTCTCTGCTCCCCCCAAACAACAAATTCCACCATTCTAATATTGTGCAAGAAATATGTGTGTAAAGATGTAAACGCAGCGGTTAAATATTAAACTTTTGTGTAAAGAAATAATGAAGCTGCTTTAAACAGAAGAACTCACACGTTCCTAAAGGCATATGTTGTCCTTGGGAGTCAACCTCGAAACAAATGAGCTTACTATTTTTTCCACTTAAGCCTACATTCAGAAGTTTCTTCGGGCAATCTTTTGAAAAGTTTCTCACTGGGGGCTGTCCTAAGTTATACCTTTTCATTGGCAAAAAAGGTACGTAATCGGGGTCACTTTAAAACTCAGTCAGTTTCAGCCCTTACCTGACCTGAGGGCAAACGAAAGTCGGGTGGCTGTGGGAATTAATACTGAGCGTGCGCGAAAACTCCGCCTGCTCAATTGCTTCGGCTTGGGCGAGTTTGGCGTTTTTTGCTTCCTTCGCCCACTTTTTTTTTTTTTAGCACGGCTCCTACTTTTTCGATTTTTGCTGAACGGATTCATCTAGAAAAGCAGATAACCGAAGAGGTCACGAATGAATAGCGGGACGATAAAAGTCAGTAGCAGATATCAACGCTATGCTTTTTTGGCCCTTGCTTGCAAGAGGGAGGCGCGCTCAAACGGCTGGAAGTAGAGAAGTAACGAGTTGAGGGGGCGGGCGGGCGCCATCTTCCGGCTGGGCGGCAGTAAAGCGCTTAAAGAGGCGGAAGGCAATAGGCGAGATGTTGAAAGAAAAGAGAAAAAAAAAAAACCACAGTGAAGGCTCGGTGGATTTGTCTGTTTTTTCAGCTGGATATCTGAAAGAGTGGCTTCTTTCAGAACTGCGCGTGCACTTTTCTCTGTTTCTCTAATATTGCTTTCTTTCTTTCTGCAGAAGGTTAGCTTTGTTGGTCTGTATCACCCAAAAGAAGAAAAATAATAGTAATTTTGGCACAAGGGGCCAGCTGATGCTCCTGGGTGGCGTCTTTTTGGGGGGGGGGCGGGGGGCGGGACCACAGCAGTTTATAAGCATATCTTTTCATTGTTAAATTGCTAGTTTCCAGATTTGACAGTTTACTGTTTTATTTAGAAGTCCCAAAGGTGCTTTTTCAGGAGGCAACTGGACTTTCTTGTTTCTTCTTTGAAGACATTTCACTTCTCATCCAAGAGGCTTCTTCAGCTCTGACAGGATAGTGGGAAATGGAAGAATGTATATTCCTTGCAGGCAGCTGGTCATGTGCATCTTTTAAGAGGGTTGTTGAAGCATCTGTGTCCTCAGTCACCTGAGTATTGCACTTGGTTCCTGTAGTCTGCATTTTTTTCTTCTTCTCTGGAAATCCATTCCTACTCCCACACCATTCAAAGGGTGTTAATCCCAAATTGTACAGCTAAAAGTCTGCAGAGATTCTCAGTCATCCAGGTCACAGAAAAAACCCAAAGGTGTTTTTTCAAGTTGAAACACCTCCAAATGCTTCATGATAAGCAAAACGTCTTCAAAGAAAAAACAGCCCAGTTGCCTCCCGAAAAAGCACCTTTGAGACAAGCAAGACTTGGATGACTGAGAATCTCTACAGAGTTTTATTTAGAACCACACTAGATACAGGCTGCAAAAATTCTGATTGCCACAAAACGGCAGCAACAAGATACAGATTTGAACACTTTGCTACTAGCTACTGGTAGTCCTAATTTTATGATTTATGTAAACAAAATTATGTATTTTTGAATACTGGCTTAACAGAAAAAGTTGCATGGTGTAATGCCATCATTTTCTCTTCCAAATCATTGTGGAAGGAAGTTACAGCAGCTTTATTCTCCTTTGCTTCAGTGGTATCTCTTTTAGACTGTCCACTTGAAAATTGGAAATTCAAGCTCTATTTTTTCTTGGTTACAGAGAGAAACATGAATTGGATGCCACCATTAGAGAATTTGGCTCGTTTATTTAGTGCTTGCAGGCAGCTGCACTCCCTGGCTTACCGAAAACAGTGGAAGTCTGTCCTGTCCTCTGCCTACCCCATGTGTCCCATTCAGCTGCATCCGCTGCTCTGGCATCCAGACACCACCTCACAATTTAGGCTTTTTACCACCAAGGAGGTAATTAATAGTTACTTTATTCTTGCATTGAAGGACTTTTGTGTGCCTCTAGCGAAGAAATAAAAGACAATGTTGTTTATAGAGAGATGCAGTAGAGGTAAATATAAATATAAACTTTCCAACAATCAGTTCCTTTCTTTACTTTTTGTAAATGTTTTGAATTGTAGTTAAGAGGAAGAATTCTGAGTTCACTTGATGCTGTGCCCCTTTCAAGCATTTGTGTTCTATTCAGTGAATGTGATCACGGGGAGATCTTTGTATACTATTGCATGTGTCAACCTCCTGGAAGAATATTTGGGGTTCATTTGAAAAGTATTAAATTTTTTTAATTGGGAATCATTTTTCCAAGCTTCAGTTACCCTTTAGTTAGTAATAAATTAACAATTGGAGAAGAAGAGGAACTAGCACAGCATTATTGTCATGAGCCCAGGCAAGCATTAGTGGGGAGTCGAAAGATTGAAATGTGGGTGAAAAGGCACATCACATATACTTACACAATTTTTCCCTCAGGAGTAGGGGATTTTTTATTTTTAAATTTTATATGCCTATTTAGTACTTACGGTACATTACAAATTTCATTTGTTCCAGAATGACAGGAAATTATGCCATTTTTTAACGGTCGTATTCAGAGTGAGTTTGAGGGGCCACAAAATTGGTGAGAATCCAGATTTGTGAAGATCATGAGATTCATGACAATCTAGCCCTTTTGTTTATAGCTAAGCATATTGTGGAAACTGAGGAAATGAGTTGATCCAGTGACTAAATATATTGTTCCTAAACTTTCTTGCAGAGAGAGAAATTGGGCAAAGTGAAATTGAAACCTGTTCAGATGAAAGCAAAGAAACAAGAGGTTGAGATAAAGCGCACAATGACTGTGGAGGAGCTTGCAAAAGCGATGCATAAGGATATAGGTGAGCCGGTTCTTTCAAATAATGCCCGGAAATTACAAAAGGAGCGATTCCCGATCTTCCTTTCAGCTGATTGATATCCTTGTGTTGTAGCTTCATTTTTGAATCCCACATATTTAGTTTCAAGGGCAGGGGTATATACTACACACACACACACACAAAAAACCCATAGAGCACTGACAGTCCACGATTTTAGAAAAATCTCTGATTTCTTCCTTCTTCCAGGTCATAGTTTCTGATTTTTGTGTACAAACAGATACACAAGGTTCAGATTAACCACTGCCCCTTCATTTCCTTTTTGTGTTTTCCTCTCATATTTTGTGGACTACTGCCTGAGAAACAGATCTGGCCTAGTATGCTACCTGAGACTGTGCTCAGACACAGAATTTAGTATTTAATTTGTTGTAATTCTTCAATTGTCTCCCTTTAATCTTTTTTCTTTGCATAAAATATATTTTAATAATGTGATGGTAACAATAACAGCATTGAAATCTGACAAAGCATCGCAGTAGTTGAAGACTGTACATCCTGTCTGGACACTGGAAATTATATGACAAACATTTTCCTCCAGTTAATGCTGCTGTATCATAGGCCTTTTCCTTGGTTGGATCATTGCTCAATGAATGTAATGTTTTTATACTCAGATCACATATATGAAGCTCTGCTGAACACAGACATAGATTTAGATTCACTAGAACCCGATTCGGTCTTGGAAGTAAATTGGATCAAAGATATCATTAAAAAATCTGGCATGCAGTACAAATGGGCTGAACTGAAAGAAGAAAAAGTGAAAGAAAATAAAGACGTGGTTAGAAGGTAACATTAATGCTTAAGTGGTTTTTTATTACTGGATTTAAACATAACTTGTATAATATATGTAACCCATTGTATGTGAAGTGCAGAAAATAATGGGCCAATGAAGACTGAGTTTGTTATTGTCAATCAGTGCCTAAACTGAAGTCCAGTTTTATCTAGACATACTGCTGTGCAAGCTATGATCTATAATGCAGTTAAATCCTTTAAAGGCAACATTGTATTCCATATATCCTATCACTAGGAAACATGTGCAGTGTACTGCTTCTCCCAAAGCCACAATTTAATTTTCAGATAAAAGTAAAATCATGAAAATATTAATTGGAACTTTAATTAGTAACATACATTATATTTCTAATGTGTATTTGGATTATACTAGTCATGTCCACTGTGAAAGTATGTACAGTATTGAATTATCTTGCATGAGACCTGCATCCTTTTAGCTATGCATCAGCTCTATCCATTCCTATTTCATGTATTTGTTTTGCAATTTCATCCCTCAATGTACTTCTTTTATATTGATCACTCACTTTTGTATTCATTCCACTTTAATTCCATGCCCATTTTTTCAGTCCATTACCACTGCATTTAAGTTTTTATGTATCTCCGACATGCTTAATTCTTGTTTCTGTATAACAGCAATATATGCAGCCATTTAAACATCTTTAGGAAAGATTCTTTCCCCCATCAGACCATAATACTACTACAACCTTTCTGCTATCTTAACATTTCTCCATCCATATCCTCATCTTCAGTAAACATTGTATCAAACTAGATAAATGCATCTACTTAATCCTCCCTTTTGCCATTTATATATAACTTGCATTTGTTCACACAATTTTCCTTGTTAGGTAGATTTTTGATACATTTGTGTTTCAGATCTGTGTTTATACTATATGTTTAACATTTTATCTGAACAACATATATTTAATATAATCACAACCACTCCATACACATTTAACCATAAATACATGAAATAAGCACAGGATATCACATATTTTTGATTAATGGTGAACGGTAAGTATTCCATTTATTTTTAAATGTGCTTTTTCCTTCATATATTGTTCTTACTTTATTTAGTAGCTAAACTTCAGTTTCATATTTGTGTGAAGTAAAGCCTATTTATTAGAATCTTTCTCTAAATCAACAAATTTGCTGTAAACATATTTTCTCATGTTCATACATTTTTCAGTGGCCTGGCAAGAGTCATAACTATACACATAAACTGCCTAACATCTGAAATTCCTAAATATTGTTCATGTTATCTCTTACATATTTCAGTCAACATTTTGCCAAACATTTTCCCAGGCACTGGTAACAAACTAATTATCTCTGTATTTTTAGCATACACTTTTTCTGCCTTTCGATTTGTATGCAAAATGAAGCTATTTCTGTTTAGAGAGAAGAAAAACAGGAAATAAAGTACTACAATGACATCTTCAGTCTCATTCATAGAAAATAGTAGCCCACAAGAATTTTTATCTGCCTTCTACTAATGTTAAACATTTTATTACATTTTGATATGAAATAAAATAATTCACATAACCTTTTAAGTATTTCACATACTTAATATATTTTATAGTAATCTTTAAAATGGCTAAAAAGGATAGTATGTATGCATGCATTATTTGCTTATATCCCACCTTTATTATTTTTACAAATAACTCAAGATGGCAAACATATCCAACACACCTAATTTCTATTTTCTCAACAACAGTCCTGTGAGGTGGGTTGGCTGAGACAGAGTAACTGGCCCAAAATCACCTAGCTGGCTTTCACAGCTAAGGAGGGACTAGAATTGAAAGTCTCCCGGTTTTTAGTCTGGTACTTTAACCTCTAGACCAAAATAGCTCCCTCCCGCTACTTCCTGGGAAATGCTGAAAGAAGGTGAATTATGAAAGAAAATCATATTTTGTGATTTTCATGAAATTTGAACTGATGATGTTATAAAACATGCTAATTTATTTAGTGTTAAGAACTGATTGATCCTGTAGAAACTACTGTAACAAAATAAGTTGCTCCTTGGAGAAGTGGTAAAACACCTTCTTTCCTTGCAAAAGTCTTAAATGAGACAGATTTCACTAAATTCCTGGAAAATCACTTCCAGTGGTGACACTGCAGAGAGTCATGGTTCAATGGTCTAATTTGCTCGTGTACAACTTCTGAATTCTATTCCTGAGTTCAAATAGAATTCATTACAGCAATTCTGTTCATAGTTTTATATAAGCAGTTGATCTGGAAAACCAAAATCTTTACTTAGGGCATGATTGCAACCCTCGTGGGTTTCCCAGTACCCTGAAAATGCAGCTCAAACCTTTGGTGGCAAAAGGGCAGCATTTTCTGACCATTTTTCATGGATAGGCGCAGTTAGAGGTGAGACTTTGCCTCCCAGAGGTTATCCAGAGATAATGCATTAAAGTACCTTTTTCAAACACTGCCCCCCCGCCCCCAAAAAAAATTCCCAACATTTTCAGTTTTCCTTCTTGTTGCCAATATGATATGTTGTTCACTGAAAAGTTAGAAGCCAACCCTTCACAGGTTCCCTATTTATAATTTAGCCATGAAAAAGCCATGTTTCCTTCAGGTAGAAAAACTATATCTTGAGGACACTCTAGTTCCAAACTATTAATTGTCACAAAAAGTTAAAACACAGAGATTGGGAATTTTAAGAGCTTTGTTAAGCATAGAATACAAAACATAAAAAAGGCTTATTTCATGTAAAATTGAATGTGTTACTATTGATTGCAGGCCTCTTCCAAATCCAGCTTTATTAACCCCCAGGCCTCCAGTTATTACCGTATTGGGCCATGTTGATCATGGAAAAACTACATTGCTTGATAGCCTGCGAAATACTAATGTGGCAGCAATGGAGGCAGGAAGTATAACACAACACATTGGTGCCTTTCTTGGTATGATTTATTTGAGTATTATTCTTAGTTCTCTTTGGATGAAGAATAAAAAGTCTGTTGCTTTCCAAATGGTGTTGGACTTCATCTCCCATTATTTCTCATTGATCATGTTGGTACAAGCAGATAAACATTACTGTTCCATTGCTTTTATCTTGTGAATCTAAAAATAACCTAAATATTTTAAATCAGTACAACAGCATCTGGATCGTACTTTATAATGTTGGCAATTTCTCATCTGCAATATTCATTATATCAAAATTGGATTATTACTGGTATAAAATGATAATACAATTTTGATATCATTAAAACAATGTAGTTTCTTGCTCAAGGCTACCTCATAAACTCATAGCAAATAAAAGGACTGTAAGAAGATAATGTGCCTGAAAGTGAACAAAATGCAAGCTGGAAGGAGGGAAGGTGGCATGTAGAAGAGAAAACAAAAATTAAGGTGCTATGAGATTAGTGAGGTAAAACTAGAATTTGCCAGGCATGAGAAGCCATTATTTTAATGTATCTCAAATGAATTCCCGGGGCCACCAGTAACCTGGGAATATCTGTTAATTCAGAAAGGCAAGACTGTTTAAAAGCTGGATCATATATAAAGACTCTGAATTCTTTGCTGTGCAATCAGCAATCAACTGTTGTATAGAAGGTTTGTATTCCTCTTCCTCTGTGCAATACAGTCAAATTCAGCTGTTAAGCCTAGGTGCCTTTTGCCAGCTTCAGCTTAGAACTAACTAAATTCAGGCTTAACTACATAGAGGTTTACTGCCAAACCTAGGTGTGAAATCTGACAAAAGTCACCTCTCCTGTCCATGGAGTAAAGTTGTCTCAAGAACTCAAGCTTCAAGTCTTAACCAAACCATATGAAGTTTCTCAATCTGATCTTAACAGAAAGTAAATACGTGTATCTTTATTTTCTGATGTCAAAAAATGGATCCAACTGGTTTCATTGCCAATAGATTATAGAGCAGGAGCCTCTCTAAGTGGTGCATTGGACCCCTATAATTTCCAACCTCACTGATTGTTATCTGAGAAAATTGTAGTCCAACATAGCTGGAGGATACCACTTTGGCAAAAGTTAGCAAATAACAGACAAATGAAGACAAACTTCAAGTATCAGAAGTAAAGCCCCATAAAGCATTGTTTTGCAGAAAGATTTAACAGCTGAACATGGACTATAGAAAAGTGATTGTCACTTTTAGGCAATTTTTCTGTTTAGAGTTGTATGAGGAATTATTACAAATCTCATGGAAGCAGCTGTTCAGTGTGAAAGTGACATGAGAAGCATTAAACTCTTGTTCGGAAGATACTGTATATATTTCCAATTGCTTTTGTAGTGCAGTTGCCTTCCGGGGAGAAGGTAACATTCTTGGATACTCCTGGCCATGCTGCCTTTTCAGCCATGAGGGAAAGAGGTACACATATCACTGATATTGTTGTACTGGTGATAGCTGCCGATGATGGTGTGATGGAGCAAACTGTGGAATCCATTCAACACGCTAAAAATGCTAAAGGTATTCATGGATTTTGTTCTCTTTCGGGAAGTTGAGGGAGGAGATAAGTACTACTATTGACATATTTCTGTTACTGAATATCTTATTGTTTGAAGATTCACTATGGAACAAATTACATAACTTGCCCATCCATGTTTTTTTTCTCTAAGTTCCAATCATTGTTGCCATCAATAAATGTGACAAACCTGAAGCTGATCCTGAAAAAGTAAAGAAACAACTGCTGTCTCATGATATTGTTTGTGAAGACTATGGAGGAGATGTTCAGGCTGTCCCTATCTCTGCATTAAAGGTAACGCAAGTCAGTTTCAGTGCCATTCCTAAGGTAAATCTGTATCACATTATTTGGAGTAAAATTTGATTCTTCAAGTGTCACATGATACAACATTGGGTAGAGCTTTTAGGCGAGGAAAACCTTAATCTGAACCTCTACTCAGAGCTATTTGGAGAAAAGCAGTTCTTTCTCAGCATTGAGCAGGAAAACTTCCTAATGAGGAAAAATGTTTTATTCTGCTATTTATTCCTACAGGTGAAACTCGAAAAATTAGAATATTGTGCAAAAGTTCATTTAGTTCAGTAATGCAACTTAAAAGGTGAACCTAATATATGAGATAGATTCAATACATGCAAAGCAAGATAGTTCAAGCCGTGATGTGCCATAATTGAGATGATTATGGCTTACAGCTCATGAAAACCCCAAATCCACAATCTCAGAAAATTAGAATGTTGTGAAAAGGTTCAATATTCTAGGCTCAAAGTATCCCACTCTAATCAGCTAATTAAGCCATAACACCTACAAAGGGTTCCTGAGCCTTTAAATGGTCTCTCAGTCTGGTTCAGTAGGAATCACAATCATGGGAAAGACTGCTGACCTGACAGTTGTGCAGAAAACCATCATTGACACCCTCTACAAGGAGGGAAAGCCTCAAAAGGTAATTGCAAAAGAAGTTGGATGTTCCCAAAGTGCTGTATCAAAGCACATTAATAGAAAGTTATGTGGAAGGGAAAAGTGTGGAAGAAAAAGGCGCACAAGCAGCAGGGATGACCGCAGCCTGGAGAGGGTTGTCAGGAAAAGGCTATTCAAAAGTGTTGGGGACTTTCACAAGGAGTGGACTGAGGCTGGAGTCAGTGCGTCAAGAGCCACCACACACAGACGGATCCTGGACATGGGCTTCAAATGTCGTATTCCTCTTGTCAAGCCGTTCCTGAACAACAAACAACGTCAGAAGCGTCTTACCTGGGCCAAAGTGGTCCAAAGTCCTCTTTTCTGATGAGAGCAACTTTTGCATCTCATTTGGAAACCAAGGACCCAAAGTCTGGAGGAAGAATGGAGAGGCACACACTGCAAGATGCTTGAAGTCCAGTGTGAAGTTTTCACAGTCTTATGTTGATTTGGGGAGCCATGTCATCTGCTTATGTTGGTCCACTGTGCTTCATTAAGTCCAGGGTCAATGCAGCCGTCTACCAGGAGATTTTGAAGCACTTCATGCTTCTTTCTGCAGACGAGCTTTATAGGGATGCTGACTTCATTTTCCAGCAGGACTTGGCACCTGCCCACGCTGCCAAAAGCACCAAAACCTGGTTCAATGACCGTGGGATTACTGTGCTTGATTGGCCAGCAAAGTCGCCTGACCTGAACCCCATAGCGAATCTATGGGGCATTGCCAAGAGAAAGATGAGAGACATGAGACCAAACAATGCAGAAGAGCTAAAGGCCGCTATTGAAGCATCCTGGTCTTCCATAACACCTCAGCAGTGCCACAGGCTGATAGCTTCCATGCCATGCCGCATTGAGGTAGTAATTGCTGCAAAAGGGGCCCAAACCAAGTACTGAGTACATATGCATGCTTATACTTTTCAGAGGTCCAATATTGTTCTATGTACAATCCTTGTTTTATTGATTGCATAGAATATTCTAATTTTATGAGATTGCGGATTTGGGGTTTTCATGAGCTGTAAGCCATGATCATCTCAATTATGACAAATCACAGCTTGAACTGTCTTGCTTTGCATATAATGAGTCTATCTCATATATTAATTTCATCTTTTAAGTTGCATTACTGAAATAAATGAACTTTTGCACAATATTCTAATTTTTTGAGTTTCACCTGTAGGTAATGATCTTGGAAGATGTGATAAAAGAAGCTATAGTCAGTCACCAGCGTATCCTAGATTTTAAATTTTCCATGCATACTGAATTACTTATGATGATCGTTAAGTCCTGTGTTTTCTGAATTACTTTTGACTTTTCTGACCTAGAGCCATAACTTGATGAACTTAAAAGAGGCAATTGTAACTCTTGCTGAGGTGATGGAATTGAAGGCAGATAGCACAGGCCTTGTGGAAGGTATTATAATAGAATCTCGCACAGATAAAGGGAAAGGGTGAGCATGCATCTTTTCATTAATTTCATTCTTGGCTGGGAGTTGCTCTAAAATTTCCAATAGTGTAATTAAATAACAGTGCATACTAAATTAAAATTTAAAAACAGTTCTGTGTAAATAAAATTAAAATCTTGATTTAAAACATGTAATTTTATGTAACAGATAACAGATAACAAATAATCAGAGTTGGAAGGGACCTTGTAGGTCATCTAGTCCAACCCCCCACCCAAGGGGGAGACCCTACACAATTTCTGATGGATGGCAGTCCAATCTCTTCTTGAAAGTCTCAAGCGATGGCGCTCCCACAACTTCCGAGGGCAAGCTCTTCCATTGGTTGATTGTTCTCATCATCAGAAAGTTTCTCCTTATTTCCAGGTTAAATCTCTCCTTGTTCAGTTTCCATCCATTATTCCTTGTCTGGCCTACAGGCGCTTTAGAAAATAGCTTGACCTCTTCCTCCCTGTGGCAGCCCCTCAAATATTGGAAGACCACTGTCATGTCTCCCCTGGTCCTTCTCTTTACTAAACTAGCCAAGCCCAGTTCCTGCAACCGTTTGTTGTATGTTTTAGCCTCCAGTCCCCTAATCATCCTGGTTGCTTTTCTCTGTACTTTTTCTAGAGTGTCAACATCTTTTTTGTAATGTGGTGAACAAAACTGGATGCAGTACTCTAGATGTGATCTTACTAAGGCTTTATAGAGTGGTATTAGTATTTTCCTTGATCTTGATTGTATCCCTCTGTTAATACAATTTAGCATTGCATTAGTTTTTTTGGCTGCTGCTGCACACTGCTGGCTCATATTTAACAAGTTGTTCACTAAGACTCCAAGATCCCTCTCACAGTTACTGCTATTGAGCCTGGTTTCACCCAGTCTATATGTGTACTTTTGGTTTTTCTTGCCTAAGTGTAGGACTTTACTTTTCTCTACATTGAATTTCATTTTGTTAGATATGGACAATGTTCTAGTCTGTCAAGATCCATCTGGATCTTGAGCCTATCTTCTTGGGTATTAGCTATTCCTGCCAGCTTAGTATCATCTGCAAATTTGGTAAGTTCCCCTTCTATTCCCTCATCTAAGTTGTTAATGAAAATATTGAAGAGTACTGGGCCTAAAACAGAACCTTGTGGCACCCCACTGCTTACTTCCCTCTATGTAGACATAGACCCATTAAGGACTACTCGTTGAGTACAGTTTGCCAGCCAGTTGCGAGTGCATCCAGTGATGGTGCTATCTATTCCACTTTTTTCTAGCTTACTAAGAAGTAGGTTGTGGTCTACTTTGTTGAATGCCTTGCTGAAATCTAAATATATTATGTCCACAGTATTTCTCTGGTCTACTAATTTAGTCACTGTTGAAGAATGAAATAAGATTGGTTTGGCATGATCTGTTCTTTACAAACCCTTGCTGACTGTTAGTTATTACTTTACTTGTTTCTAGATGTTGGCAGTTCTGTTTTTTCTTCTAGATTTCTTCTAGAAAACCTGTTTGCTTGGATTTAATCTCTCCAGTAGCACTCCAATAATGTGTCAATGTGAAATTTGCCTTATTGCAAAACTACTGCAATCAGTTCCCATAGCACACAATGGGCTCCCTGCTAAACTTGAATTAGGGGCGGGGAGGCATATTAATAAAAAAAAAAGAATGGAAATAGCCTGCAGCAAAGCAAAGCATCAGAATTCAACATTATTTTAATTGCCAAGAAAGTCTTAAGCCCTACTTGGGCTTCCTAAGCATTCATAGAATGATTACAGCCCAACATTTTGGAACAGTATCAACCTCTTCTCTCTCCTCCGTCCCCCTTGTCCCTACCAAAAAGGTAAGCTAAAAATAAGGAGAGTGAGTGAGTTGGGTTAGAAAAGGTAACAAAAAACATTTTTCACAAATTTACTTGTAAAAACATTTGATGATTCCAAAATCTTACCACCACCACCACCCCAGTGGCCATTTTATGGAGAGCAAACCTCTGTGTACCAGCCATTTTGAAAAAGAATCCCCTAAGTCCCTAGAGCTTATAGGATTCAGGATGGAATAAATGAAGGAAGGAAGAGACCTCAATGAAATGCATTTGCCTAAGGATCTTAGGATCCTTATCTCCATGTAAATTTATTGATAAAATGTTTCTAAAGATAGTTTGGGTGAAAAATATATTGTTCTGCTCTGTTTTATAGATTTGTGTCAAAGTAATTTTAAACTGAAAAAATTATACTGATATATTGACATAATAAAGCTGTATAAAGAGGCTTAGACATTAAAACATACAATTGATTGTGAATATCAAATCAAATGTCATTTTTATTTTTATTTGCCTTCCACCTGACCCCAGTCCAGTGACCACTGCCATTATTCAAAGAGGCAGTCTGAGAAAGGGCTGTATTTTGGTTGCTGGAGAAACCTGGGCCAAAGTACGACTGATATTTGATGACAATGGCAAAATCATGGAAAATGCTTCACCTGGTTTGCCCACGGAGATTGTGGGGTGGAAGGAGGTCCCTGCTGCAGGGGAAGAAATCCTTGAAGTTGAATCTGAGGTAAGTACATTTCTTGTTTTAGTATTAAAGTCTAATGTTCCTAAAATTGTCTTTATTCAGTATTTATCCAAAGTTTCATCCAAGATGCACCAGAAAAAGTAAAATATCAGTGAGAAGGAAGATGTTTTTTCAACATATGGAAATAGTTTAATTCAAGCAGGAAAGACTTATCTATTCCATGTGGCACTTGCTCAAAACTGGACTGGTATTTTAATAACTGTGTTGATGATTCATTTAGTTGAGAAATATAATATTGGTTCAGTTTCAATTCCTGATTATTCACCAGTAGTAATGTCTTAGTTTGGACAAAAAATATCCCTACTGGGGGAAATGATATTTTAATGTTATTGTTATTGGAAGGTGCTCACTTTGGTGAGTTACAATAAAGGTATCAATAAGGTGTTTTTTCATTGCTGTACAGTATGCTGCTCAGAGTCACTTTCCATGAAATGGGTGGTAATATAAATTTTTATATATTTTTTTCAAATTAAAAGAGGGTCAACTAATTTTGGGATAGTCTATGGATATATTTAAAGCTTTTGGGAGATAAGCTAATAACATGCCTCTGTGGAAAAAGAAACATAAATTACAATATAGAAATGTTATATACATACATTATAGTATAGAAATTTTAAGTTCTATATACAATATATAGAATGATATAAAAGTCATTTTCCCAGTGGTCCAGCACATATGGATATTATTTAAATGATAGAAAATTAAAATGTAATTTTATGCTTTCATGAGAATTCGATATTTTTGAGTACAGGTAGATCTTGCTTATTGACTGCCTTGTTCAATAAATGTTTGAAGTTACCACAGTGCTGAAAAAATAACTTTATGATCAGTTCCTACTTTTGTGAGCTTTGAAATGTCACAAGTCATGTGATCACTTTTATAGTCAGTATGGTGGTATGCTTCACTTCGTGGTATGCTTCACTTGATTTTTGCTCCCCTTATAGAGCAGAGAGATTGTAGAGGAAGGAATTACAAAAGAGAAATCAGTCACACGATGGGGAATATACATAGAAAAGAATATGGTGGCATCAGCATCTCTGAGCATGCCCAGGGCTGAGAGCCATGAGCACACTATGCAACAGCAATGATAGGAGCCAGGCTATGTTGTCAAATTAACGGGTTAATTAATTTTGTTCTGCCAAGCAAAGGGCACATGAAGTTGTTGAATGGAGAAACTATGTGAAACAGCAGGAAAAGATCAAGAAAGATCAAGAAATTATAGAAGAGAAGCAAAGGGCTCACCAGGAGGTCTACAAGAAGAAGCGAGAGGGTCTCATGAACATGAGCTGGAGAGAGAGAGTATATTTAACAAAGAAGAGCCAAAAGGAGTCCATGACTAGGCAATTTGAAAAAGATATTCAGAGTGACAAAAACATGTTGCCTCTCATTATCAAAGGTATAATCATTTTTCTCTTTGTGATCAGCTCTACATTCTCGTTTGAGTTTTTAAATCTAAACCTCAGCATCCATCTAGGCCAGAGGTATCAAACTTGCGGCCCGTGGGTCAAATGCATCACAAGCTGCCCCTGCCCCTGCCTGCTTTAGCAAAGGGGAAAAAAGTCCCGATACATCACGTGATGCTGCCATGACACTGTGAGTTTGACACCCCTGATTTAGGCCCACTGAAGGAGTCCAGACTGTGGACTTTCAATCACAAATTTAACACAACATTAAAAACAGCTCCTTGGAAATATTTGTATAATCAGATCAGAATTTAATACTTTGGTGCTGATCTCTCTCCTCCCCCCCACAATTTATAAGCACACATTCCCAATACAATAGCATAATGTTCCAGTGTTATGTGCCTTGCTTGAGTATGAATTTTCTTCTTTCTACTGAAATTAACTAGGTTTCTTGTTTTACCCAGGTGATGTCGATGGCTCTGTAGAAACCATTTTGAATATTCTGAAAACCTATGATGCTGACGAAGAATGTATATTAGATGTGATTCATTGTGGAATTGGGGATATTACTGAAAATGACATAAATCTAGCAGAATTGTTTAAAGGTAAGGAGTTGGATTCTGAGGGTATCAATTTATTTTTTAGACTAATTAGAATTAATAGCTTGTTCCTTAGTTTAATTAAGTAAATTATGTAGCCAGTCATAAATGCACAGAGTGGCTTACACTTAATTGAAAACACTGGGTAAAGCAGGGAGGGATTACGTTCATTTAACATGATCCTATTAATGAATCCTTGGGTTACGAATGTAATTGGCTATTATATTTATAACTTGAGGATTACCTGTATACATATTCCATCTTTAGATTGAATAATGGAAGCATATACATCTCACTCCTTTGCCCTTTTTGCTAAATTCTCTGGCTTTCTGACCTGTATTTTGTATAGATATTGCATGAGAATAATGAGGTGTTCTGGGTATCCTCTTTTCCTATGCACACCCACCTTGACATAATCAGTGCAATCAAAGACTCTTCTGAGGCAAGGAAGCACATACTTTGTTTGTATTTCTTAGCTTTCTTAATTATCCAGTGTTCATTAGCAATAAGGATTATGTTCCTTGACTCTTTCTAAAGCCAGTTTCAATCTCTAGCATCTCCTATTCCACTTAGGGCTCTAATCTTCATTGGATGATGAATTTATGTACTTTCCTAATTGTCTAAAAAGCCAGAACTATTGCAGTTTTTCATTCCCATGAAATTTGGCTAGTTACATATTAATCAGAAATAATGGTTTGAAATAAACCAGTCAGTTATAAATAAGATCTATTTCAAACTTTGAGATGTTGAACTTTCCAAAGTTTATTTTAATCTTGAGTTTTGATTCATTTGTGACTATATCTTGTTATTTTCCTAGCTGCCAAGAAATTGGGAGTGTACAAATCCAATTTTTCAGTGGGAATGTACAGGTTTACTACTCAAGTTCAAATTTTGCTGTTTTGAGGCTTACTAGGGTGAATGAATTGTATTGTATTAATCCAGCACATTCTTCCTTTTTCAACAAAATAGTTAAGCATATTGGCATTACAATGCACAATGTCTGAACCAAGTCTCAGGATACAGCGCTTGGTAAAACCCCAGAACCCAAACATGTTAGTAAATCTTTCAGCAACCGAAGCATATTTCCCATTCTTAAAAATAGAGTAAATTATGTAGTTTGAAAGAATATACAAACAGGCATAAGGGAATTTGCTTCAATTTTAATGTTTAGCTTTAGGAGGTAAAAACCTTTCTTGCATCTTTGTCTTGGGGTACTTGGTACATTCTGAAGTTAATAAAAAAGCAACACTACTTCATATTTGTTCTGTTATTCACTTGACAGGTATCATCTATGGGTTCAATGTTAAAGCACATAAATCTATTCAGCAGTTGGCTGCCAAAAAGAAAGTAAAGGTGAAAATACATAATATCATCTACCGGCTTGTGGAGGATCTACAGGAAGAGCTCAGCAACACTTTGCCTCTTGGTGTAGAGGAGGAAGTGATAGGTATCTCAAATAATCCAGAAGTGAACTTCTGGAAGTTATCTAGTCAATAACCGGGGCGGGGGGAACGGACGGGGACACACGCAGAAATCTGGGCTTTCTAAACTTTGCTGTCTTAGAAGCTTCCAGTTTTGTCTGCTACTTGTAGAATTCAAACTTAGGCTGCCTTCTAGGACCAGGACAGTTATTACAGGTTGAATACCGCTGGAGTACAGATATTTGTGGAAAAAATAAAGAATGGAAGGTTTTTCTTGATTACTACACTAGAGGAAATAAACCACAGAAAAATTAAAAATTCAATCATTCTAGACCTACTGTGGAGAAAATAATAAGATACATTTTAATAGTTGAAATCTAGCAGAAGGCAACTTTCTATGTTCCCAGACTTTTTAAAAATTCTAGTTCTTTTCCTTGAAAAACAAAAACATATTGTGCAAACCAATGAAAAATTTGCTGTGTGATATAACTAAAAAATACAACATTGGATGGTGGTGGTGGCAGATTTTAACACAAGAAACCAAGTGGGCTATGTTTATGTGGATTTTGATTCTCATATTCCCTTTATTTCAGGAGAAGCTGCCGTTTTAGTCACCTTTGAAGTTGATGTAGGAAAACATAAAGTTCCAGTGGCTGGCTGCAGAGTACAGAAAGGACAACTAAACAAAAAAATGAACTTCAAATTAATTCGCAATGGAGAATGTATTTGGACAGGTGGGTAAAGGGCATATTCAATTTAGCAGCTGTTTGTTACTCAGATTCTACTTTGTTGACATTTTTAATTTGTTGAAGGTGTTGCTTCTGATTAATATTTCTGCTACATTTCCTTCATACTTATGTCTGGATTGTTTTAAGTATAAATATGTGCAGTTCTGTATGAATGCTATGTATAAAGAGCTACCCTTACAGCAAAACAAATTCCCAATTTACTGACATTTCTAATAAATTATGCACTTTTACTTGTACTAAAATTTTACTCATTTGTTTGATTTAGGATGCTTATCGTCTCTGAAGCACCATAAGGAAGATATTGTTATTGCAAAGACTGGCATGGATTGTGGACTTAGTCTAAATAATAATTTGAAGTTTGAAGTTGGAGATGAAATTGTTTGCTTCAGCCCAAAGGAAGTAAAGCAGATAATTTCTTGGGAGCCGGGATTTTAAATCAGAGTGACTAAAATATAGAGGCAAGAAAATGAATCTTCATTCAATATCATTCAATCTTCATTCAGTATCAGACTATAGAATCTTTGGGATAGTAGCTTACATTGTACAATTAACAGGAATATATTTTAAACTTCTGCTGTTTCTAATGTAAAATTGGCTACAGAAAATAGAAAAGTCTGCCATTTCAGTAGATATATGTGCTATGAAATAACATTTTAAAACCTAAGTGTTCACTACAAGGAAAACCAAAACATTACATTTGTTAACTGCAATTGTTTTTCAATCATTATTAAAAATGTTAGATGAGGTGTTTTGCTATCAAAATTCTGCATTAACACAATTCTTCCATATAGACTAGTATCTACACTTATGGATCCTGGGTTTTCTTATTCAATCTGCCTTTGAATTATGGATTTCCTGTCTGGCCTCTCTCAGAGGGTCAGATTAGGTAATCATATCTCTTCGTTCTTGACACTGGTACACCACAGGGTTGTGTGTTGAATCCCTTACTCTATACCTGTGATGGTGAACCTTTTGGGCCCTGATTGCTCAAAGCACGTGCACACATACCCAAAATGCAAGGCATCCCCGTGCATGCATGCGGGCCTCCTGCATGTGCCCCACCCCCACGCGTGCACAGCAGAGACCCAAAGGCCAGCTAGCTGGCAGGAGGTGCATGCACATGCGTGGTAGAGCTGAGCTGGGGTGAGGGCATGCATGTCCACAGAGAGGGCTCTGCATGCCACCATAAGTTCACCACCACAGCTCTATATGTGCACAACTATTCCCACTCACGCCAGTAATACTATTAAATTTGCAAATGATACAACAGTGGTGGGAATCATCTTCCCATCCTGCTTACAATCTTTATGAACTGTTGCCTTCTGACAGAAGAACAGAACAATTAAAACTCAGACCACACGTTTCTGAATAGTTTTTATCCCAGAGCTATAATTGCACTTAACAAGGAACTTAAGGACCACCATCAGTGAGCTGTTGGACAGTATTACTTGGTCTGTTGTGTGGATGCTTGTGTGTTTTTAGGAGGTGGGGAAGTTTGGAGGGTGGGGAGGTGTTTGGGGATTGTCATGTGTGTGCATGAGTCTGGTCTCTGGGTGTTATGTGAATTTCATTGTATATATACTGTGTATATACGTACAATGACAATAAAGAATTCAATTCATCTCTGGGGGAAGGGTGTATGAGTGCCTGTCGAGATGAGGCTGTTTTCGTGATGTGGAGACAATAACACCAATAAGACCAAGGAACTTATAGTGGTCTATAGAAGGAATAGATCAGACATCCAGCCCTTGCTGGAGACCGAGTGGAGCAATTGGCCAGTTTTAAGTTTCTGGATGTGTTATCATAAAAAAGGAAGTGACCTGGAGCGCTCACATTGCAGACTGGTCAAAAGGGCCCAGCAGAGATTATACTACCCAAAACTTCCCAGGAAACAACTGAATGAAAACTGCTGGCAACCTCCTACCACTGCACCGTTGAGTATTTTAACTTACTGCACCTGTGTATGGTTTGCTAATTGCAGGGTGGCAGATAGGACAGCACTCCAGGGGGTTAACATCATTGCCCAGATGATCATTGGTTGCCCCCTCCCCTCTTTGGAAGAACTTTATAGCTCCCGCTACCTTAAGAAATTTCAAAACATTCGTAAAGATCCATCTCATCCTGGGCACTCTTTTTTTTGAACTATAAGCATCTGGCAGATGGTACAAAATAATAAAACAAGGACAAATAGGATGAAAACCACCTTCTATCCCAGAGCAGTAACTATATTGAATTCTACTGTATAATGCAATATTAATGCAATATCAGGTTTTCAATTCAATTGTATAGAATGCGAAAGATGTGTTTGTGTTTTATTTTTAGTTATAATGTACACTGAAGATGCATTTCATTGTAAGAAGTGCAATGACAATAAACTAACTTACCTATGGCACTCAAACCAACAGCTATTGGATCAAATACCTTTGTATGTTTAAATTACAGAACCTACCACACCTAAACCATTATTGAATAGTTTGAAACATGAGGGTGGCTGTCATCTCTCACACTATAATGTTCAATATAGTTTTTTATTTTTGAGCTGCAAACTGCTTTTGCAGGTGATCAGCCTTACATTAGAGTTGTAGGTAATTTTTAGTACGTAAATGTACTAATTTTTTAAACGTAAATGTACGTTTTTATAATAATGACATTGCATGGAAATGAACAAGGAAAAAATATTGATAAATCAGTTATGGTACAATAACATTATAAACAAATGGTAATACAGTATTCCTGGAATTTTGTAGCCAAAATAGCATAAATGTACACTAAAAGATACAAGATACCCTTCCCCTTTTCCTAAGAATAAGTACTATAGAACAGAGTTCCCCAGCCTTTCTGGTTGGCAGCTGGCGCTTATGTGTCCGTGCACATGCACAAACGGGGCCACAACACTTGTAGGAATGCTAGGGCCTGTGACACAAACACGAGTGGAGGGGTGCACATGTGCATACTATCCAGTCACACAGCCCAATGGCCAACAGGCCATGGTGCAGTAGTAGTCATGGCCCACAGGTTGGAGACCCCTGCTATAGAAGATAAGCAATTCATGATAGTAGGTAAAAGGACAGAACTCTTCTGTTAACACAACTTCTGCAAAAGAAACTAAAACTACTACCGAAGCAGACAACAAAATACCCCATAAGACAAAATTAACATAAAAAACCCTCAGCTTTTGAAAAAAACCTGTTCTAGTTCTATTTAAAAAAAAACAGTAATTGGAACTGTAGTGTCTTTAAATTCAAGTATGGCTTTGTCCAGTGATGGGATTCAAATAATCCACTGTACATGCAGGACGAGCCTCCTGCGACGGCCAACCTGACCCTAGACGAATGGATTAATTCCCATTCTTCGCCAAAAGGCTGTTTATGAGGGCGTTTGTCTGCATGGTGGTCTCGTGGCTGTTTCAGCCTTCTGGACATGGCTCCTTTAAGAAGTGAGCGTGCAGAGATGTTGGTCAGTCCGCGGGCAAAGGGGCGAGGAATTAAGTTGGCAGCATGACTGAAGCTGGGCCAATGTAGGTGGAACTGCGGGGTTAGTTCAGCCAGACAAATTATCACAAACACACACGTTATCAAAGCGGATCCTAGGTGTTCCACTGAAATGGGGAAATGGACAACAAAGTGGCCAGCTTGAGGGAAGAAGGCCGCTTTCCCTTCTTCCCTCGTGCCTACTGCTCTGTTGCCCATTTCTCCATTGCAGCGCGGTGCACAGTGGATACTTTGATAGTGAGGGTGGATAATTTAACAACTGATTCGCACAAACTGGTGCGAATCAGCTGAATCCTACCACTGGCTTTGAGCTAGTTAGCTGATAACTATGCAAAATAATGACCTCCCCCAGTCTGTTTTTCACTTATATCATTTCCCGTCATTTATAAACACTTTAATTTTTTTTATAAATGCCTGCTTTATACATTTTTGCAATTAATGAGAAATAAACACGGCAATGTTCAAAGGTTTTTTATTACAATAGACATATTCACTTGTCTTCTGGTTTGTTGAAGCAGTATGTCAAGCAGCACTTGCCACAATAATGTCTATCAAAGTGGCTAGCCATGAACACTCCAGCCCCACATTCTTCAGAGGGACACTCACGGCGTAAACGGCTGATTTTGCCATTCTCATCCACCTGTAAAAAGAAATCCTCAGTAAATAATGCAGTACTACATTTATATTTAAAAGCAGGCTTATTTATAAAAATATAATTAGAATATAAAAAGTTGTTGGAACAACTGCCTTTAGAAAGATTTAGGACTCTTCAAGATGGAGAGAAAGACTTGAATGGAGCTACCCATTCTTGAATAAGAGAGTAAAATGTAGGGGCCGAGACTGCTAGATTTCTTGGAACATTCAATTACTGCAGCAATCTTTCCCCAGCTGATCAAACATTGTCTAAACTAATGCAATGTTCTGTACATGCAACTACCCTTGAATAGTAGACGGAAACGGCAAATGATGCAAAATGCAGCACTCAGGCTGCTGACTGTTACAAAATACAAGATTATGAATGATCATACCAGCATTAGCTATCAAAGAGAGTTGGAAAAGGCTAGCAGTTTGGGCCTGTACCTGTGAGACTGCCTATCTGGCTATGAACCTGACATGGGAACTGCCAAAAGCTTGATTTTGGCCTGTTGACAGAAGTTTCACTTCTATGATTCCCAAGCTAGGAAGGCAGCAAATAGAACATACCTTCTGTTGTTTTATCTTTTGCCTTTTATATTGCTATAAATCTAACATTTTGGAATAAAGTTGTAGGAGAAATTAATAATTAGTATAAAGCAGACAATTTGAACTAGTACTATTCATTGTTTGGTACTAGCTAAGTTCTAGTTCTGCATACATAAAACAGATTGGATATGTTACCTGAAGGCAACTGCTTTCTAGCAATATAAAAAAAACAGCAATAATTTATATTGAATGTTATTCATATTGATACGTTGAATTTTACAATATACATACTCAGTATATATATTAGACATATACAAACTAATTTTTTTTCTTTCTGTTCAATTGTATCTGATTCAGAGACTGCCTGGACAAATCCCCGCAGCTTTTTGGCAAGATTTTTCAGAAATGGTTGCCATTGCCTCCTTACAAGGGCTAAGAGAAAGTGACAGGCCCAAAGTCACCCAGATGGTTTTGCACCTAATGTGGAATTAGAATTCATTGTCTCCTGCTTTCTAGCCTGATATCTTAACTACTATATAAACTGACTCTCTAAAAAATCTAAATTATATAATTTAGACATTAGATATAGATATATATACACACACACACGATTATATACCAGCTTTATTTATTTATTTATTTGGGAGATTTATATTGCTGCCTATTCTGACATGACGACTCAAGGCGGCTTACAAAAATATAAAAACATATAAAAAACAAACTAATGAAAAGAATCATATATAATAAAATAACAAATAAAATAATAAAATAACCCCCTGCCCCTCACAACACATCATATGAGCCATTTAATAGGTTCCATCCTGCTCCACGTTCCCCGGGTCCACTGGCTGTTATGTTTAAAAAGGAAGGCTAAATAAACTCTTTTTCTGAGAATCTGCAGCTTATTACCACCAGCTCTTTCTCCTGAATTCAAGTTGCAACAGTGAAGCTGATTTTACCTTGTAGTACTTAAGGACAGCAAGTTTCACCTTCTTTCTCTTATGTTTGTTCTTCTTAGGAGTGGTGTAAGACTTCTTCTTTCTTTTCTTTGCCCCACCACGAAGTCTCAGCACAAGATGAAGTGTTGACTCCTAAGTTTGGGGGTTTTTTTTAATAAAGAAAACATGATTTTAACAGATAAAAAATATCCAGATTTGAGAATTTTTGTGATG